AACTTGAAGTCAATAATAGTATCGAAATTTAACTTCTTATTTTGTATTCAATAGGCAAAATTCAGTACATGTGCATGAATACAATTGCTGGCATGCATAAAATTAATTAATTACAAAGCACACCACTACAAATTCAATTTTTTGACAAATTTCATGCTTTAACAGTTTCCCCAGGCCCTATACCACTGAGTGGCCCTGCACATGTACAGTATCAAAAACTTTCTGTTTCCAGTTACAATCCTCATGCAGGGTGAAGGGAAATGGGCGAAATCCCTCCTATTAAGTTTCCCCCTAAAATAGTTTGGATAAATTTAATAAATGGGTTCATGCTTGCTGCAATTCACTGTTGTTCATTACACAATTTCAAATTAACTAGCAATCATGTGTACCGTATAGCGGAAAATTTTGGAGGGACTAAAATTTGACAAATTGCTAAATTTTGGTGATTGGCAGATTTTAATTTGGTGAATTGGTAGCCACGTGCATTGAGAATGCGTATAATGGCTCAAAATGGCGGATTTAATTTTGGCGAATGGCTATCAAAACGCCAAATTCATCAAATTTAATTCCCTCCAAAATTTCTCGCTATACGGTATATGCCTGCACCGGTGAAATTGGCTTTTATTTGATTATAGTGCAATATTGCAAAGTTAAATCATCCAAAATATAGAGTGTTATCATTAATTTTTGACATGTGCCCCATACGAAAAAATCCTGTATGAATCCCTGACCCTTTAATTCTGCATCTACAGGCTATGCCTGACACAATAATGTGATAGTTTGATACCAAGTATAAGCGGTATCACGCTGGTATCAATGTTGCTACTAGCAAGCAATCTTGCTATTCTTAATTGCTAATATTGTAGCAATCTTATAGTCGGTTGTTGACTCCTAAATCTTGTTGTTGTTAAATCTTGTTGTTGACTCCTAAACAGTGCATGAGCATGTGTAGTAGATGCACACTTGTCATGGCATGGCTCCTCCTTTGATCTATGACATTAATATATTGTGTGTTTCCATAGGATGTCTTTGTATCAAAAATTTTATTATTATGCACCAAATGTGGTGGATGTTCCAAGTAATCTCTGGAATAATGTTCAAGATGCATCAAAGGAGATATTTCAGCTACATGAAGTGCCAAAGGACATCATCAAAATGGCAGAAAGGGCAATAATTAGTTCCTTGGGTGCTGATGAAGACTTAAGGGTACTAGTGACTGGAAAAACAGGTCAAGGGAAATCCACTCTTATCAATGGTCTACTGGGGGCTAAAGTAGCAAAAGAAGGAGCTGGTGCTGACAGATGTACTACTGAAGTTGAAGTGTTCAAGAAGAAGATCAATGGTGTACCAGTTGTGGTTTTTGATTCTCCTGGTCTGCAGGATAACACGTCAAATGAAGAGGAATATATTACAAAAATGAGAGAAACTTGCCAAAAGCTAAGTTTGGGTCTCTATTGCACTAAGATGATTAACACACGGTTAACAGATGATGACAAGAAAGCAATGAAAAAGCTAACCGAAGCATTTGGTCAGGAGTTCTGGAATCATGCTGTCT